TATGTGTGTGTGTGCAAAATAATCTTAGTTTATGTATTTTGTCCAATAATCTTATTAATTGCTTAAAATACCAAAGTATTTATGTCAATAATAAATTAATACATATTCCTAGATATATACATATAAAAAAATACAATTATTACAATTAAAAAGCATTCTTTTTGCGCACAATCTAATACAATATTAAAAATTATTATATCATAATAAAAACAGTTATATGGATATAAATTGTGTGCACACACACATCCACACATGATACCGATACATATCATACACACACACACACACACAATCCCATCTGAAAGTTACTATTTTACCAGGCAATCTGGGTATGCTAACAGTTGGCCAATATTTTGGTTGGGCATCGCCGTCTTTGCCTATACTGATGGAAGGAAAAGATGAAACATATCCTGTGCGTTTGACTTCGGAGGAAGCATCTTGGGTGGCATCTTTACTTATGCTAGGTTCAATGGCGGGTTGTATTTATTGTACATTTATAGTGAATATTATTGGCAGAAAAAACACTATGTTATTGTCGGCCGTGCCTTCAATTATTAGTTGGTTGATGATAGCTTTTGCAACATCATCGTGGGTAATTAAATAACTTCTACATTTGCTAAATTTATTTTAAAACAAAATGTGTGTGTTTGATATATCAAATGTTTTTAAAGCATATCTTGAGATTAAGAATTCAAACTCAGATGTTTATTCGTTTTACTTATCATAAATCCAGTTTTCCTATTTCAAGAATTTGACTAATATTAGCATTAAAAAGCATTCTTTTTGCGCACAAACAAGTAAAATTTAGGAGAGAATAATTTTTTATATGAGCAAAAATAAACATTTTATGAGAATAGACATTATTTTCTTCTAAATGTGAACGTAAAAATATATTAATATGCACTGCCAGGAAATTGCTGCTAATAATTTTTGCTATTTGTTCAGCGTGCTCGAATATCATAATCGAGGCGTACTTTAATCTGTATCATAATTACGTAGATATTAACAGTTCTAGTATGGGTGCTCTTGTATCATCGGTGTGATCATGTATAAAGTCATATCTAACACGAGGTCTAGCATCATTACTGTTCATCTTGGCGAACTATTTTCTACAAATACGAAGCCGTTTTGCAGTTAAATTACTGTCATCATGTAAACTATACTTGAACATTTTAATGACAAAATTATATGTGATCATAGTCGATAATATCGACATACACATGCCGTTCTTAATATTCATTGTGTGCAGTCTTATCGATGCTTTATTCATATTTTCTACGTACCTGAAATAAAAGGCAAAAATTTAAAGTAGATAGAAGAGGAATTGCATGGTTCATCTCGAAACAGTAAAAAAAATTAAATTATTTATATTTTGATTTTATATCTCAATAAAAAGTATTCGAGAGCTGTTGACATTCGATCAAAAGAAGCACCTTTTGATGTCAAATACATGCCTTCTTTCCTGTAATATAATTTGTATTGAAAATTAATTGTATTACATAAATGGAATGTCAACGGTACATAAACAAATTATAACTAGTTTATATACCAATTTATAGTATTATAACGAGTTTGTATATTGGACTTACGATGTAGTATATTGGACTTACGTTGTAGTAATCACGTTCAAAAACAGAAAGCATAAATCAAATATTTAATGACATTTGGGAAATTGCTGAAATTACATCTGAAAGAATAAAAGGACTCGCTATAGTTACAAGGGAGCATGCTGTTTTAACTATTTTATACCGGAAGATACAGAATATTTTAAAAAATCATCCAAATGGCGTTTTCTTGTGTGTTAAATTCAGATAATAATTACATTGAATACTTTATTGTTATAAAAATGAACTTTGTATCTATATCACATCTTCAATCTTGTATTTTTTTAAATCCATTTGTTTAGCAATATATGTGATTTTGATCCAGATTTGATCAAAAACTAAAAATGTGAATGTGTGTTGTGTGGGTGAGAGATTTTTGTCTAACAAACGCTATTATAAAATAAGAAAAAAATAAATAAAGTAATAACGCTTGTAAGCTTTCTCTTTTAATAAATAAAAACTATCGATGTATTTACACACTGATAATACACGTCTTCCATGGAAACGTATGTAGGAATCACATATATGTATATATTTGGACTGTTAACAATTGCATCGTGTGTGTCGAGTTCATACTGTTTATGAATAATGCTCTTCTTCGCTCGACGGTGAGGACTGGCTAACCACGATCGTTATAGCATCGTTTGGTTGCAACCAAATCTTTGCATTATTATGATCAATTTTCGGCGAACACTTCGTTTGGACCTTTGTTACTGGTATCTCTGAAACATTTGCATAATAGATACTTCAAACCGTTTCTCGTTTGTCTGTTTGATTATCCATATAGCAACGATAAGCACGAGTACATAAGATGTGTAAGAGATAACTATTATTGTCACTCTCAATGTATCCTGCATTTTTTTCGCTAAATTTTATTCGGAAAGGTAAATAATTTTACATATTTGTGTAATATTTGACATATTTATACAAGATATAATTTATTATTCACATCAGAGTTTTATTTTACGAATTATTTAAAACACAAGTTCTCAGAAAAAAAACGCTTATGAAATTTGATTTGTCTGATAATTAGATATTTTGGTGAGTAACAATGTCATTTGAAAAATGTGATATTTTACATAAAACGTTTTATTCGTGGCATATTTTTGATGATTTATAAAATGTCAAAACAAAATAGTGTATATATGTTTTACGTGCAATTTTCGGTGACAAACGGAGCTGTCGACAGACTATGACAACTGAAAATTAATATTGAAATATTTAACACAAATGAATGAAAATGGCACGTGTGGTGAAATGTATGAGCGCGACGTAAACTGATATCGAGGACGCGACATTTCTCTTCTTTTGCCCCAGATTTGCATATTTATTTTTAGTCCTTTCCAAAACGTATATGCGCTCACCTTGTATCTGACTTGACGATGTCGATGTATCTGGAAATTGAACGTGCTTCCTTGATAGCCGACTCCCAGTGGGACTTCTCTCCGATAAGAGAGGATTGTGACATGCCGTAGGACTCTGTGTCGGTGTAGCTTTTGTTTCATTGTTGGTGACACATTTTCGCGAACTTAGACACGACGTGGTGGCGGTCGTAGTTGGTGGTTGAGTTACGTATCTCACCACTGGAACCTTCAAGGGATATTATATGAGACATAAATAAAATATATCGTGCGATTAAAAATTTTTAGAACGTGGGTCGCGACATTTGAACGACGATAAAAATCACACATTAAAAAATAGGAAACTTGGAAATTATATATTCGATATATGTCAGCTTTTATGAGAACTGCTAAAAGATTATATGAGGATATTGTGTATATACAGAGAGAAATAATTTGTACAAGAAAAGAATTCGACACGAAGTATTTCCGACGTGTAAAGAAGGTCACAAATATAACAGAATTCTCGAGACACGATCAATTCTCTTTACGATATTGATTATGAGATAATTGACGTAATAAAATTGCTACGAATATCCCTTTACTTCGTTACTTTCTTAGCTTTCGAGAAACATTTGATCGTATTTTTCTCACAGTCTCCCTTTTCGTTTTATTGCCTAATAATATCAAAGACCACTTACTGGTATTACAGACAATATACACAGATAT